ATATATATATATATATATATATATATATATATATATATATATATATATATATATATATATATATATATTGTGTGTGTGAGAGAGAGAGATTATGCATAATCTATATATATATAGTAAATAATAAATCTGATCGGTTATTTACTAAAAGATATAGGTGCGGTCCCCAGACAGAGAGGTAATAGAGAGTAGAGAGAGGGGGTTTGCTTCCTGTTTCTCCCTATCATTAGTAAAACCAAATTTTTTTTTAGTTTCTTTTTCTTTAAATTTACATATGGCATAATTCCCAGTCATGAGAAGTCCCATGAAACACAATACAACAATTTGGAACCATACAAAAAAAGAATATATAGTCCCTTGCATATATGCCTCTTTCCTCCCACCCCAAAAAGAAAGAAAAAAAAAAGATCCAACGCTGGGTTAATATAAACAATTAAAAGGCAAGATGATTCCTCCAGTATTTCCTCTAATATTCTTGCAAATAGATTGAGCTTTTCCGTTTAAATAAGTAAGCTTTATGTCTTGTAACTTTATTCCACTGCATGGATTGCTTGGACTGCAGTCAAAATTCATGGCTACTTTCGTTGCTGATGTTCCTAATATATTTTTGTATGTCACTTGATTGATCTTTACACCAGAAGTCTGCCAATTTATAAGCAATTGAATACCAAATTAGATTCATCATTTAGTATTTCTTTTTATAAGTTTAAACACTTTTTTGTGAATTACCTGGCCTGGACACCCTTGGTTGTTGGGACAGTAGTTTTGATCAATGATGATTGGATTGTCAACATTCCTCATGATAATGTTTTGATAATTAATGTTGGTGACAAAACCAGTGCTGGGTCTTGCCCAAGACTTTATCCTTAATCCATTATCAGATCCAGAAAATACTGAATTAATTAATGTCACGTTCTGCACACCATCTTCTTTGTAATCTCTTGCTAGACTTCCAATGCTGCAATGCACAAACAAAAAAAACAATTAAATTTATTTTGAATAAATATATTATTATATGTTATGAATATGATACATGAATTTTTTTTTTGGTAAGAGGGGAAACCCGCAGCCGCCACAACCTCTGCCACAGCCTCTGCCCTTCGGGTGAGCACTCTATGGTGAGCACTTTGTGCGCACTGGGTAAAACCCCCCTGTGTAATAGCCTGCAATCCACACAGGAGATGTAAACCGCACTAGGCAAGCCTTGTGCGATAGGCTCAACCCAAAAGGCATTGAACGGATGGCCACCCTCCGGACCAACTGGGCAACCCAAAGGTTATGATTCATGAAGTTAGAAAGGGAAATTGTTCGGATTTATTCCTATAGGTATTCGATTTGTCTTACATTTGCTTTTTGATCCATGAAAGTCTTAGCACTGCTAATTTTGTCCCATAATCCCCCCCCCCCCCCC